TAAGAAATGCTAAGTGTGTTCTTCCCTTTTGGTTTTCTAACTCCAAGTCTTTGCACCTTTCAGTATAATATTTGACATTTTTTTTTTTTTTTTAGCTGCCCTTTGAAAATTTGTTCAGCTCTTTTACTTCCTTATTACTTTCATTTGCTTTAGCATCTCTACACTGGAGAGCAAGTTTAAGAGTCTCTTCTGACAACCATTTGGGTCTTTTTTTTTTTTTCCCATTCCTGTATCTTTTTAATGACCTTTTGCTTTCTCCATGTATAATGTTTTGAAGTCAACCCACAACTTCTCTGGTTTGAGTCATTAATGTTCAATGCATCAAATCTGTCTTGAAATGGTTTCTAAATTCTGGTAAGATATACTCAAGGTCATATTTTGGTTCAGTTGGACTTGTTTTAGTTTTCTTCAGCTTCAGTCCGAACTTGCATTTCAACAACTGATGATCTGTTACACAGATAGCTCCTAACCTTGTTCTGACAGATGATATTGATCATCTCTATTGTCTTTTCCCATAGATGTAGTCAGTTTGATTCCTGTGTATTCCATCTGGCGAGTTCCATGTGTTAGTCTCTATTTATGTTGCTGATAAAAGGTATTTGCAATGAGTAAGTTATTGGTCTTACAAAATTTTAATATGTGATTTCCAACATCATTTTTATCTCCAAGGTCATATTTTCTAACTACCAATTCCTCTAGTTTCCACCTTTAGTATTCCAATCATCAGTAATTACCAATGCATTCTGATTGCATATTTGATCAGTTTCAAACTGAAGAAGTTGGCAAAATTCTAATTGCTTTATTGGCTGGTGTATAAATTAGAATAATATTTGTACTAGCTGGTTTTCCTTGTAGTTATATGGATATTATCCTATCACAAACATCATTATATTTCAAAATAGATCTCAAATGTTCTTTTTGGTGATGAATGTGATATCATTTCTCATTCCCAGCATAGTAAATCATATGATTGTCCAATTTAAAATGGCCAACACCTGCCCACTGCAAATAACTGACACAATAGGATGGTGATCTTTATGTGTTCTGTTTCATTTTTGACAGCTTCCAGTTTTCCTAGATTAATACATTTCATGATCCAATTATCAATGGATGTCTGCAGTTATTTTTTCTCATTCTGAGTCATGCTCCATCAACAAATGAGGGTCCCGAAAGTTTTGTTTCATCCATGATATGAAGACTCTACTTTGAGGAGGAGTGTGGTGACTGTATGATAAGCACTGGACTGAGAATCACAAGGTCAGAGGTTTGAGTCCGCCAGCTGCTCTGTGAAATAAGTATGAGGCTTTCTGCTCTGGCAGAGATTTACACCTCAGAAACCCTATACTGGGTCGCTCTGAGTCGGACTCAACTCAACAGCAGTAACAACAACTACTACTTTAAGGAGGCAGGTCTTTCTCAGTCATTATTTTGAGTGCATTCTATCCTGAAAGGCTCATCTTCTGGCACTATATCATACATGTTTTACTGCTACTCATAAGGTTTTCAGGGGCCAATCCCTCAAAAATGGACCACCTATTCCTTCTTCCTAGTCTATTCTTACTCTGGAAGCTTCACTGAATCCCCTCTGCTACTGGTGACCCTGCTGGTACTTGAAACCCCACTGGCATACAGTCCAGCATCACAGCAACATGCAAACCAGAACAGTCAGACAAACTGACAGATGTGGGTGGAGATACAAATTAGCTTATGTTTTTATATCAATTAAACTGAATTTGTTTTCACCAATAATTCACTATAAGCAAATTCCTTGTATTTGAAATTAATTGATACCACAAAGTGTTTTGTGTCTTTCCTCATTCTTTTACTCCTTCAAGTTAATGAGTTTTTCCATAAGGGTATTTTTTAATTAAAAGTATGACATTAGATTAAAGTGTGAATGCAATTATAGTATATAAGTACGATAGAATTTTATCAAAACAAGTTATCATTTATTTTCTAGCATTTGTGAGAAATCAAAATTTATTTGACTTTATTACTTTTAAGTAAAGTACTGATATATTTAAATATGAATATGTATAGTAGAAAGCACCAAGGACAAAATAATGGGGAGTATGCTTTTGATTTTAAAGAGTTTTCTGAAGTCATATGCATAAGACATTGACTACAGTCACATTTAATAAAAAATACACAGATAAATTGTTTTAAAGTACGCCATCTTAAAGCTCCCAAGGAACAGTAAAGCAGTGAGAGTCAGAACTTGTGTAAGGCAGAAACCTAACAGAGAAGGAAAATGCTAATATTTTCCACTAAAATGAGTAATTTTAAGTGGTCAGACTCAAAGAAAGGTAGGAAACTTTTGAGACCAGGAGTAACAATGCTGTCTTGTCAAGTTCCAACTCTCTCAGGTTTCACTGTAGTTTTCTATGCTTGTCAGAAGCACTTAATAAAATTTTTAACAACATTATATGCTATTATAAAAATTTCAGAGGTTTCTGGGTAGCTAAAAAGGTTGGTAGCTACAACTCAACTAGTGGGGCAGTAGGAACGTGGTGACTTTGAACAATAAGCACTGGACTGCAGAGGAAAAAGATGAGGCTTTCTGCTCCCATAAAGACTGACAGACTCGGAAACCCTGGGAACCACCTCTATAGCACTTAACAACAACAGTGGCACAGTGAAAAATAGCCTTGACAATCTGCTCCCAGAGAAAATGTTGTTTGTTGTGTGCCATCCCGTTGGTTCTTCTCATAGCAGAAAAGAACTGCCCTATCAAGTTTCTTCAGCTATAATCTTTACAGGAGCGTACAGCTAGGTCTTTCCTGGTAGAGCAGGTGGTGGGTTAGCAGTAGAGTACCGATGTATTTAAATATGAATAAGCCATTACACTAGCAGGGCTCCTTCTTGGTACAGATTAAAGCCAAGAAAACCCTGTGAAGCTAGGTTCTGCTGTGCAGCACATGGAGTTGCCATGAATTAGAACGAAATTAATGGCAGCAGATTTTGGTTTTGTTGCTTTATAAATAAACTCTTAGTTTGGAAAGTGACTTTTTATTTCTCTTTATATCTAAAAGAAAGGCAAAAATTATGTTTTATAACACCCAATGTTCTGTAAAGAAACAGCTTTCTTACACTTTTAATGGGAATATAAATTAGAATATATTCATATAAATTACATGTAAATTTGATAACTATTAATATTAAAAAGCACATATATAGTGACTCTTCTGCTAGAAATTCATCCTAAGATAAATAAACAATGTATGCTACAATGTATATATAACCAGTCTTCAAAAAGTTCATGGAAAATGCATGTTATGAAGAAACTACACATGGATTTCAATTTCTTTTTTAACACCAAAATAAAATTATGCTAAATAGTTATAACATGTGTGAACAGGATCTCATTTGAAGCAACAAGGATTAGACATCACTTTGAAAAGAGGCCCTATCAGAGCAACATGAATTCTGCTAAACTGAAATAAAAACAAACATTCAATTTGTGGGGAAGCATGGGTGAAAGAATGATGAAATCATTGATGTTTTATGAAAAGTTTATGGGGACAATGCAATGAAGAAGTGGATAATGCATTTTACAAAGGGATGAAATGATATTGAAGGCAAAGCCCATAGCAACGGACCACTGACTTCAATTTTTGAGGAAATAATTCTGTTTGTACTCTGAGTGATGAGGACCCATGATTACCAATAAAAACAATAACTAATACTTTAGACATCTCAACTGGTTGGTGTAGTATCTTAAATTGATTTTGATATGGCTTTTCTATCCAGTCTTAATTTCCACCAAGCAAATAAGGTTACAGGACTCTAAGGCTGGGCTTGGTTAGTTTTGCCCTCCAGCTAGGTTTACGAGGAGCTGTATCTCAGAAGCAGAGATGGAAAATCCCAGGACTATCAAGAAGGAAGCACATGAATGATACATGCAATCCCTACCTAGAGAAACAATGATTATAGAGGCGACGGCAGAGATAGTGGCAAGGAGAGACAGAGCAGCTTCCGGTTTTAGGCCTATGAACTGAGTAAAGTTGAGTGTCTAGCGGCAGGTGACTAGCTTGCAGAATGTGCCCTTTAGGTATTCATAGACTGGCTAAAAGAGCTTTGTAACACATGCTGTAGGTTAATGTACTGGACTGCAATGTTGGTTTGAACTGAAAGGTCAGCCGTTCAAGCTCACCAGTCACTCCCTGGCAACCCTATACAGGGTCACTATGAGCCGGAACAGATTCAACTACATTTAACAACAACAATAACATACCTTAATAGTGTTGCTGTTCTCCCTATATACTTATCTACTGCTTGGCTGATAATTGGGCCTTGAGAGTGACTGTTCCTTTTCAGACCTGAGGGGTGGTCAAGGCCATAGTCTCAGGTTCCTTCAGTCTCTTTCTGATCAGTAAATCTGGTCTTTTTTTTTTTCAATTTTGAGTTTTGTTCCATATTTTCTCCCACTCTATCTGGAACCTACTAATGTGATCTCTTTCAGAGCAGTTGGTAGTGGCAGCTGGGCACCATCTAGTTCTTCTGGTCATAGAGTCATGGAAACTGATGTTTATATGTTCTATTAGTCCACTGGACTAATTGATTCCAAGCATCTTCAATTCTCATCACTCTTCTTTCCCCCTCATATGGAGAGACCAACAGCAGCATCATAGATGACCGCTCATGAGCCTTTAAGATTTTAGATGCTACTCACCAAAGTAGGATACAGAACATTGTCGTTGTGGGCTGTGTTATACCAATTGACCATGGTTCTGAGACTATGGTTCAGATCCCCGAAACCCAGCAGCTCATTATCTTAAGATGTTTAATAAAACCTAAGAAGTTTTTCATCATTTTACCCACTGTATGCTCCACCACATTCACAGTTGTGTTTGCATTCCATGAACTTTTTGAAATTCATTCCTGTATAACAAAGATGTCCATTGCAGCATTTAAAAAATAATAATAGTGTAAATAGTAAAAACAAGTTAAATAATTCAGTTTTAAATGACACACACACAAAGCTGGCCAAATGTAATTACCATCTCGTTCTCGTTCACTCTCAGGTCTTGCTCTTGGTCCAGTATCTGACCAATCACCACGAAGTCGCAAACGTTTAACTGGAGGCTGTCGTAACTAAAAGATGAAGATACAGTAGACTCAATATAAGTCTAAAAGAATACTTATTTGCTCTCAACTCTTCCAGTACACTTAAAGTCTAATAGATTATTTCTATCTCCCTATTTTCTTTATTGAGTATGCATGTGAGATGGTAGTTCAAAACATGAAAGACACTGAGGAAACAATTAATTCAGGATGATGATGAATTGTCCACTCATGCTAACAGCCTATACTCAGGATCTCCAACCAAAAGAATCTGAATGCAAATTTGAAATCATGTATGTATTTCATACTTGGCGACACTTAACAACAGCATAAAATGCAGTCCTAGTGCAGTACTTTAGGAAAACCACTAAACCCAAATCAGCGTGAACCTCAAGGTCAGAGGTTCAAATACACCAACCGCTCCTACAGGGTTGCTATGAGTCAGAACTAACTCAGCAGAACTTAACACCAAGCACTGATTGGAGTCCTAGTGTGGCGCTGTATGATAAGCACTTGGCTGCTAACCACTAAGTTGGCAGTTGAGATCAATCAGTCACTCCTTGGAAACCTTATACAGGGTTGCTATGAGTTGGAACAGACTGGATGGCAGTTTAACAATAACAACAACAAAAGGTCTGGATAAGAGAAAGTGGGAAATGCTGCTGATAGGATGATATGATTCAGTTGTGAGTGGTTAACAGTATTCATTGTGATTATAACTTAGAACTCTATTGTGGGGATAAAATGAGTAGTCTCAAAAGCAGAATGGGGAAGCTCACTATCATCAAGGAGAAAACCCCGAGATCCCCGTACATTGAATCTCCTCAACTTAGGGACAAATAGTTCTGATATCATAGAAATGGCAGAGAAGCAGGGGAACCAAGAGTCAGAGTTCAAGACAGAGCAGTGGACTTTCCCAGGCCATGGAGCAAGTAAAACTGAGTGATTTGGGCAGGAGGCTTGTTTTCATATTGGGGTGCATCCAGGCACTTAATTGAGGGGACTAGGGCTGCTGAGTCACGAGATAAAGCCAAGGGCGGGCCTTCAGGTTAAGGCTTATGGTAGAGCAGTCAGCGTGCCTGAGAGCATTTGTCAGAAACCCTAAAAAAGTTCTGTGATACTGCCTGGGCAGAAAGTCCTGCCTGGACACAGCAGAGGGAGAGGCTGTACTGACTGGAAGAACTGCACCCCGAGCATTTTCTTATCCTGCATTGTAGCCTGTTTACCTCCCTAACAAATCCCATAACTGTGAACATGGGGTCTGAGCTCTGTGTAGCCATTGCAATGAATTACTGAACCCAGCTGAGTAGAGTGCAGTGAGTGAGATGGTTTGGTGTCATTTTTTGCCTTTTGGTTTTGGGTTTGTATATTCACGGATATAGTTTCTGGGTTATGCCTTACAAATAATAAATGAAGTAATTACTTTATAGTCATTTTTAACAATAATAACAGTAACAATAATTCATGAAATCATTTTTTCAAGATACATCTACTTTAATCAACCTTTTCTTCACTTAGTCATCTATTTTGTAACATGTCCCTAGCGATAATATAATATCTTGGTGTGGCGCTGTGGATTAATGTGCTGGACAGCAAGGTTGGTTTGAACCGCAAGGTTGGCAGTTCAAGTTCACCAGCCACTCTTTGGAAAGCCTACATAGGGTTGCTGTGAGTCAGAACCAACTCAATAGCACTTAACAACAACAACAGTTCATAATTGTGAGTGAGAGGCATAATCGCAGAAGAAGAGATTACTGGCATGTGAACAGGAAATGGTAATTAATTCTTTAGTGCATGGACATACAAGAGGGTTTCAAAAAGTTTGTGGAAAAAATCCATTATCTTTTAATTCCATTTGTTTATGAACTTTTTGAAGCCCTCTGCTCATAAACTAATCTTTTCGAAATTTATACATCAAATTTTAAAAATTATTTTACAGGTCTTTAATTACCCTTAATTTTATATTATTCCTTGCTGTTTCATATCTTTATTCCATTGAAAATTATGGATTTTTAACCTTTTAGATGCCAGGAGTCCCTGAATTAGTATTTCCTGAATTGAATAAAGAACGTGGGTTTTGAGTAAATGTACCTCTTCTCTTCTCTCTTCGGCAGAAGGAGTTTTAAGTTCACGAGCTGTATCATCTTTTGGGTCAAACAGATAAATGTAATCTGAAGAGTAACTAACAAGAATTTCCTGACCATCTTCACTGTAACAAAGAGATGTCACCCTGCAGGACTTGTTGTGAAGGTGTGAGGGGATAAAACGGGCAACCATTCCGGTAGTCCCTCGACCTGCATAATTTCCTAAACAAGAAAACACAAAGTTATTTAAAATTGATAATATTTTAAAATATAAATATTTTTAACATTAATCTGAATTACAAGATAAGTGATTAAATGTAGCAATAGAAATCGAAACTACCACATTCTATATATTCAGAAGAGGTTCCTTCTTCAACTGGTTTTATAACAAAACCAAAAAGATAGAATATCAAGGCAGCATATTTCCAAACAAAATTCCTAATTGTCCAGAATTCCAGATCAATAGTTGACTTAGAATTGGTTATTTCAGAAGTGGTTTGGTCCATAAATGGATCAGGAGAAAAGAAACTGCTTTAAGTCCGTTACTAGTTAAAGGACGGCAGCAATTGCATGCACTAGGCTTAAATGTGTGTAGTAAACATATCTATACATCAATACATGCTCAAGACATTGTTCTTTTCCTAACTTTTCTCACCACTTCCTGATTGAAAAATGGCAAAGGAAAGTTAGGAAAGCCAAGTGCTGTAACTTCTTAAAGTGATAGATGAAAAAGCAGAAGATCTCCCCAGAGGGTCATAAAAATTTTGTGAAATGCTTTTTGTGTTGTTATTGTTGCTATAATAACCCCTATTATTTAAATGCATTCTATTTTCTGAATATTATAGCAAACTATAGAAAATTTAAAACTGTAAACATGTCACAAAGGTTGAATTTTTGTACTGATAATTATATTGTCTATAACATATATTTTCTTACCAGTAGCTCTTGTGCCCAGCATTCGTCGATCATATATTCTTACTGAGCTATCAGAGCACCCAACAGCAAGATAATATGGTATTGGTGGACAAATAGCTACAGATGTGGCAGCACGTCGACAGTTAATTAAAATATCCTATAAAAGTAAGAACAGATCAGTTATATAGAGCTATACAGTAGGGATGGCACTATATTTAAAACACTGTTCACTCAGTAAAGTGAAATCACTTTCACCGAACTCTTAATGCAGTCAGCAGGACAATGTGGGGTGGGAAGTGGGGATATGGGCTGCTTCTGTTATTCAGAATTCTATCACAAATTTTTTCTAACACAGTCAGCTTATGTGGAAACTAAAATTAAATTGTTGTTGCTAAGTGCCATCGAGTTGGCTCCGACTCACAGCAACCCTGTATAGGAGGAGTTCCAAGGAGCGCCTGCTGAGTTTGAATCACCGACCTTGTGGTTCAAACCGATCTTCGGGTTCAGTGCTTATCCTACAGCTCCACACCAGGATTCAATTAATATTCCTCCAAAGACGGCTATCACCCAAAGGGAAATTTTATTTTTCTTTATAGTTTATTGTTACATGCCATTGAGTTGGTTCTGACCCACAGTGACCTTGTATAGGGTTTCTGAGGAGCAGCTGGTGAGCTTGAACTGCCAACCTTGCAGTTCAAGCCAACTTTGCAGTCCAGCACATTAACCCATAGCGCCACACCACGAGTCCTATTTGTAATATAATATTGTACATTTCCCTTATGAACTAACTAACATATTTGGAAATAATAAACTTAATAATTGTTGCTGTTGTTAAGTGCCAGCAACTCAGTTCTAACTCACAGCAATACAGTATACGGTTTTCAAGAAGTGACTGGTGGATTTGAACCACGAACCCTGTAGTTAGCACTAGCAGTCCAGTGCCTATCTAACAGTGTCACATCAGATTTAAAGAAAATTAAAAAGCATCAATATTTTAGTAGCTCAAATTATGTCCTAATATGTGGCTAACTGCCTCCAGACTGGATGGCGCCTGGCTACTGAACATTATGATTAAAGATTCTAGAGAAGGGCACTGATTAAAAGGAGAAAATGCAGAACAGAATTTGAAATTCTCATGGGATCTAGACTTTATGGAGTCACGAAGGCTGCACAGACCCTCAAAACTATTGCTCTAAACCAATCTTTAAACTTTAAACCAAAAATATCCCCGGACATATTCTCTAAATTAAACAACAGTTTAGCTTAACTAGTGAAGAATGTCTGCCTTGAGCACTGTGTTCTTTTCAGAACTATCACCTGGCACCAAATTGACTATAGCAACACAAAAGATTAGACAATTAGAGGGCAGTGAGATTATGTCCATAGAGGAAGAACAACTTGGAAAAGGATTTGAGAATGGTTACACAACCTGCAGGCTGTCAGTGAACTGTATATACAAAAACTGAGTTTGTGTACGTTCTGCTCTGTATATTCTCAATGCTTTCCTGTTTCCTCATTGTGTTATATCCATAACATAAAGACTGACTTAAAATTGATACATGTAAAAATGTGTCAATTTCTACTGTTTTATTTGCTTTCTTTGTTTCAACTATATACAATAAACTTTCCCCCCACTAAGGCATAACAGTAATAGTAACTTGTTTAATTTGCAAGCATTTAAACTCATTACTAGTAATACTTTTTATAACTTTCACTAAAAATATAATTACTAGTACTTTTTAACTTATGAATTCACAGTGATCCACGGTAAAACTACTATGGTTCTAAATATCTGACAGAGAAAAACACCTGGGGTTAGCTGTATGGAATTTATGAACTGAATGATTTCTCAGGTGTTTTTCATGTTTAAAATTCTATTAAAAATGTAATCAGAAGACTGGTAGTGAAGATACATGTTTAGAAAAATGAGTTAAAGCCTGAACAAACACGTTGATAGAATACTAGCTGATACTGTTAACTCATAATCTATTATTTTAAAAAACAAAACGTAGTAGTAACACTTAGTTCCTAGTTCAAAATACAAGAAAAAAAAGATACTAAATTGCCACATGGTTTTATTACTGGTATTTAATAAGTAAAAAGTCTACATGAGTAACTAGAAGGATATAGGTATGTTGGTAAATGCTTCACGTTTCTATACCACCAAAGAATTTACTGAGTGACCTACATTTTTTTTTAAGAAATGTTTAAAATGTACAATTAAAATGCAAGTTCTCTAATTTTATTGTTAAACATTTTATTTTTTAAAAATTGTGACTACAAAATATACTTTAACAAAAATTTAAGAACCCACCCGAAGCTTATAGCTCAGAGATAATTTACTGTCAAATTTCAATTACAACTTTAATTATTTCTGCATTACTTATACAAAAATCTGATTCTTACATCTTTGCAATCTTCTTTTGTGCAGCTAGTTTTGATGCGAGTATCAAACCATCTAACAGTTCCATCTTCACCACAGGAGAGAAAAGTATAAGGATCATTTGGTACAGTCATAATCTAAAGATGAAAAACAGAAGGATGACCATGTTATTAAATCTCCAAACAAATGACTTAAAAAATTGTTACTATTTCACAAAATGATTAAAGGAAAAGCAACTTCAGAATCATTTTAATTATCAATGATTTACAGAGTCCTGGTGTGGCTCTGTAGAAGAAATACTGTATTGCTAACCGCAAGGTTGGGGCCCAAATCCAATACAGCGTCACTGTGGGTCAGAATTGACTCAACAACAAGACTTACAGCGTGATTCAAAACTCCATGATATAAATAGAATCAATGCTGAACTAATGTTTCTTTACTTTGAAGCTAGGAATCACATAACTAAAGATAAAAAGTACTTAAAACTAGGCAGCCTGTTCAAATTATTTAAAAAATAAATTTTTACATTTTCTGCTTGTATATTTACAGGTATAATATAAATACATTATGAAATTTTCTTCTCTAGTAATGGTTACGAAAATTGTGGGATGCTGAAATGATTTAAGAAGTTAACTCTATTAAAAATTGTTAAAAAATCACTTTTACAGTATTAAACCCTGTTATTTAAACAAGCCTAATGTTCCATGGTCTCCCTGTACTGGCCCTAGGTTGTGTATTTATTTATAGTAAGTGGGGACTACTAACCCAAAAAGCCTACTGGCAACAAATTCAAAATTTCACACATGCAACTATTATTGGAATAGCCCAGACAAGCTGGTTCTCAGCCATTTAGAGCCTGCCTGCGTTATATACTCTGGAATGGCATCCAACATCTGCTAGCTTTAGATAAGGTAAAACCCTGTAGGTGAAACACACCCCAAGCCACTGATAACCATTAAGAGTTGTTTGACCCAGACACTCATCACCTTGCTCTTGGGATGGACATCATCTACACACACACAAGCCCCTCATTTTTTCTCTTCTCTTCCCCAAGGGTTTCCTTGTCATCTTCTTTTTTTTAGTGATTCCCTTGACACTTGCCTCTGAAACGCATCCTGATGTGGGAAGTGTCACCTCCTACAAACTCCTTGTCAACCTAGTTGCCCCAATAAATACCTTCTTGTGCAACACTGTTATCTCTGGGACATGATCTTTTTCCTTGATTAGTTCTGAATTCCTTCAAACTCATTACAAATCTAAATACAGATATGTCCTTTATTAATAAAAGATTAATTTTTAATCAACATGGAATACCAATATTAATGCCCTGGAAAAAAAAAAAGGATTGTAAAAAGTACACACAACATGAATGAATGAGAGTAGCATTCAAGAAAAACAAAGACTTTTGATTCACTTCATAGTTGTAAGAGATGTAGTTAGTTCTAGTAAACAAGCCAGCAGTGTTAAATATTTATAATGTTGACAACTTTGATGACTTAAGCAAAAAAAAGTGACAACTGTACCACAAGGTTGGTTTGAAAGGCAGGTTCAAACTCAACAGCTGCTCCTTGGAAACCCTATACAAGGTCCCCACTCTAATTAATAATCCATTCTGACTTGTATAATCATAATACTATTATAAAAGGAAATTATTAATACAGGTTTCTAATTTCTACAATTAATGTTTTAATGAGGTTTTATAACAATATGCTATATAAATCTGTATTCCTTAAGAACTTTTCTTTGCATTTAAAGCTTCTTAGAGAATATTCAAAGAATTAATGGCTGAAAATGCCTAAAAGATATTGAAAAACATATATCCATGCAAATCAACCACTGCGAGTATGATAAAACTAAGAGATCCAAACCTGGACACATCATATTCAAAAGGCAAAGAGAATTCTGAAAGGAGC